AATCACTCCTCATTTAGCCCTCGCTTTCGACATACGGAACGCCGCCGCCAGCTGCGGCGGCGGCCACCTTCCTCCGCCGGCAACCCCTTCCTCCCAACCCCCCAATTCCTCTGCGGAGTTCGACTCCGCAGAGCTAGGCGGGGCCGACGAGCCTGCCCGGACGCTCAAGCGGCCCCGCCTCGTGTGGACCCCGCAGCTCCACAAGAGATTCGTGGACGCGGTGGCCCACTTGGGGATCAAGAACGCCGTCCCCAAGACCATAATGCAGCTGATGAGCGTGGACGGCCTCACTCGGGAGAACGTCGCCAGCCACCTCCAGAAGTACAGACTTTATCTGAAGCGTATGCAGAGCTTGTCCGGCGGCGGAAACAGTTCCACGGCGGCTGGAGAGGATCCCGCGACGGACCGCCTGTTCGCGAGCTTGCCGGTGCCGGCCCACTTTTTGCACCCGGCGGGGAGGCCGCCTAACACCGACCGATTCGTCCCCATGCAGCACCAGATTGTGGCGGTCTCCGTCGTGGGGGGCCGGCAGCTCCGTCCTCAATACGGGCAGTTTGAGAATTCATATCCAACGCCGCCGCAGCAGCAGCAGCAGCAGCGCGTACATAGGAGTGGCGCCGTCTTCGTGCCGCCGTCGAATATGGAATGCGCGGCCGCCGGGAGGAAGATCCTTACCCTGTTTCCTACCGGAGATGAATAGCTGTCGACCGTTGTTTCCGAAGTGTAATTTCGGCCGGTCCATTCTTAAATTCCTTGGAAAAATCATTAAGATTTGAATAAGATTCATCAAATTCAAAATGTTTTAATTTCGGAGCATTATTCTTGCTGGCGAACAACTAATGTGTGAATCACCTAATTAAGTGTGTGTTGTAATGGGGTTGCTTTTTAAACGATTAAGATCATGCCAATCGTATTGGTACCGTTAATGCCTAATGGTACCATATCCTTTCTCGAAATGGTTTTAGAGCCATCTGATCCGCTTGGGTTTGCACTTTACAATTTACATAGCCATGTCACTCACTACTCCGTATTAGGGTACTTACGATTAGACCTCGTAATCCCTCCGGTCAATGAGTTTATACTCCCTCGGCCCGAAAATGTTCTTCACATTTGACTTTTCTTAGTCAAAGTTTATAAATTTTGACTACGATTTGTGGAAAAAACACATTGTATTATGATACAAATTTAATATCAATGTATTCATAATGAAACGTAGCTTTCAAATATCAAATTTTTATAAAATATATCTATGTATAAATATAGATATTAATGTTCAAAGTGCAATATTGGAAACCGTGAAAAGTCAAATGGGAAGAACATTTCCGGACGGAGGGAGTATCAGTTTTGGCTTATGTCGGTTTGGATTTATATCGATTCGGGTTTATACAGGTTCAGGTTTATATCAGTTCGGGTTTATACCGGTTTTGGATGAGATCCCTTGGTATTAGGGTTCCTAATGTTAGTTTTGTGTGTAATCTCTCCTCTCTATGTGTAAAGAGGGGTATATATACAAGGGTCACGAATAATGGGTCAGTATATCTATCAATGTGTATTGTGATGTCACTGTAAATTGTATATACTCAGTTTGAAAATAGACAACCATCTTAGTTTAAGTAATAAAATACAAAGTGAAAGACTTGTAAATGAAAGTACTTGTACATATACTTCAAATATGTTTTTTTTAGAAAGACATCAACTAATGGTCTATTAGATTTAATCGGTTTTGGTCTAGTTGGTTTTGAGTCTAATAGGTTTTGGGTTTAACCGGTTCGGATCCGAATCGGGTCTGATCATATTCGATTCGGTTCGATTCGGATCATTTCAGATATTCGATTATAATTCAGTTCGTCTAGTTTCGAGTCGTTTTAGATACGATTCCGGATTGTTCGGTTTGGGTTATTGGGCCCAGGTCTTTTGTGACAGGTCTACTTAGTACTTACGACACTCTTCTTCTAAAGGGGATAGTTCATATCTTCAAATCTCCGACAACCCCTGCCACTCATGCCCGATTCCAACAATCCCAACTCCTTCAATTTCATAATTCATCTTATCATATACGGAGTGTTTCATACTGTGTTTTCTTTTATTTTAATATTCTTTAATTTTATTATTTTTATTCTTCTTAAATTTACTACTATTTTCATGATTATTGCTTTTATTATTTGTACTCATTAATACATAAAATCATAGTTTCTTAAAAGAGTGGTGCTTACATCGTCTCAAGACCCATATTTAAAATGTGAATTTTCTCACATTTTTAATGAACTTGCATGTAGATTTTTCTTTTTTGCAAAACCGTTCACTTCTTTTTTGCAACATTTACATAAGGTCCATAAAATAAGTATGGACCTTAGGGTTTACGGATGAATTTTCCTTTTTTAAAAATGTAGATTCGTTATGTTTTGTTTGCAATTGTGATTCTTTAAGTTTGTGCGCATTTTTTTTTAAATAAAGTTGTGCTTTATTTTTATACAAACTTGTTTCCATTTCAATATTTGAATTATGGATGGTTGTTTTTTTGGAAAAATTAAATGTAGGTGCAAAACTGGTAATATGTCAGTGTTGCACCTACATTAAATGTCAGGTTAAAGCTTTGGGGTACAAATTGGGGTACAAATATGGGGTACATGTAGCATGGTCCTATTTTATTGGATAATGCTACATGTACCCCATATTGTACCCCATTTTGTACCCTAATGTTTTGCCCTGACATTAAATGTAGGTGCAAAACTGGTAATATGCCAGTGTTGCACCTACATTAAATGTCAGGTTAAAGCTTTGGGGTACAAATATGGGATACATGTAGCATGGTCCTATTTTATTGTATTGTTTTGTTTCAAAATGGAATAGTTCCTTATTGTTTTGAGGTTTATCATCATGACGCATACTGATAGCGTACCACTTTAATATATAAGTACAATGTCCGATAGGTTTCGATAGTATGAGCGGTCGTTTCATCCTTAATATTTTCTAAGTCTCGTGGGTAAATGGGTCTTTGATTAGGAGACATGATTTAGTTTCAAAATTACTTCGTAATATGTAGTCATGGTATACGATGTATAATGCTCCCTCTATCTCAAAATTAGTACTCGTAACTTGAAAATCTAATGTGCTTTAAAATAATTCTATATACAATCTAGTACTTCCTCCGTCCCTAAATAAACTTCCCCTTTCGTTTTTTCTTTGTCTCCAAATAAATTTTTCTTTTCCCTTAAAAACCCCTTTTACACCTTACTTTTTCATACCCTACCTATCACATCATACCTTTTTACTAATAATCTACCTATCACATCTTACTTTTACACATCACATTAAGGGTATTTTTGGAAAGTCAACACCAAAATATCCCTCCCTTAAATCTTCAAAAAGTCAAAAATGGAATTTTATTTAGGGACGGAGGGAGTATAAAAATATAAATTACATATTTCAAAACATCATAAAAAATTCTATTCCATATAAAACAAGATGCATGTGACAAAAGAAATTATCAATTAGTCAATGAAACTATATAAATAAACAAAAAATATCCAGATGCAAGAAGAGTAAGTGAGAATATTATTTTGGAACGGAGAGAATACATAAAGTATACACAAACTATACTAAAATTCAAGTTCATACTCTCTCTTGTCCAAAAAAATCTCTTTGTTTTTACTGACAATTCTTTTTTCAATTAAAATCACATATTTATCCATATCTATTCTTAATCTAATATCAGATTATATGTATCCATAATTAAAATGTCAGATTTCGTCCAACTTAGCTTAAATAAATTAAATTGGATGAATAAGTATGAAACAAGAAAAAAACGTACACTAATACTAAATGAGGGTGGTGAGAAGATAACATTTAATTTATTTAATTTATGACAAGTTAAATTCATATTCATGCAATCCTAACATTCCCATTAATATTAAGTAACGTAATCTCACATTCCCTTCAATAACCAAACTTCTTTTTTAAGCATAGACCCCCTCCTTGGACAATTTTTTGAGACGAAAAATTTTAATTAAAAAAAGATGAAATTTTTTGAAGAAAATTATTAAACTATTTTTCTTATTCATGTTTAGATAGTATAATATTTTTTGAATACTATTAACTCTATTAAAATATAGAATCCATTCAAATATATTTTCTAAATTATATCGATTGAAGAACAAAAAGTCAACATCGCTTTCACTAAAGTTTGAGCAAGTGACTTCGAAGAATCACAATGGTGCTATTGTACTACAAAGCCTTTGGGGTTTGGAGTAGATGGATGAAAAATAAAAATATTTTACCTCTTAGTTAATGAATAAACACATTTATACAGTGATAAATTAGTATTCAGTACTATTTAAATTTTCCTTCCAAAAAAAAAAAGAAAGAAAATATTTAGATATATTCAATCCTTCTTCAATTTTCCAAACATGATACGGTGTGTCTATAGTGATATATACTTATCGGCCTCCTTGTTTTCAACCCTATATATATTTAGAACGAAATACGAAGTATACTCTAAAATTATGTTTTTTGAACTTAATCTATTGTCACGGTAATTTAATAGTGAAATTTGTGCTGAATAGGACTTGAACATAAGTCATTTCCTAATGTAGGACTTAAACTTTTTTATTTCCTAAATAGGACTTATTAATGACCAGTGAGAAGAATAATGTCCAAGTGATGCTGGACATTTAGTTGAATAATAACTAATAGATAATGACCAATGATCGTACATTGGGAAATAAAAACATATGGTCCTATATTGAGAAAGTCATTATGTTCTAATCCTATTTAGATAAATTATCCAATTTAATATTTTGAACATTTTTTATGCTATAAAATTTAATAAACTTAAATGAGAAAAGAAATACTAAGGCTCCGTTCCGTTCAACTTATTTTTTCTGATCTGATCTGATTTTAATAAGTTCTGATCTGATCTGATTGGATCTGATCTGATCTGATCTGATTAGATCTGATCTGATCTGATTGGATCTGATCTGATCTGATTGGATCTGATCTGATCTGATTGGTTCTGATCTGATCTGATCTGATTGGTTCTGATTTGATTGAAAATTGTAATGATAATTCATATTATAATATAATCAATATTTTTTTATGATTATTTTTTAATGAAACAAAATTAATTAACTCATATATTAGAATAATCATTCATATTATAATGTAATAATATTTTTTATTTTATGATTTTTTTAATGAATAATATTGATTTAATATTTTAATAATTAGTTTATATAAACATTAGAATAATTATTTAATTTATATATGCACTAAAATGTTATTTAGTATAGATAATCAATGTTATTAATAATCATTAATATTTT